GCACGCCCCCCACCGCCCCGCCCACGGCACCACCACCACTGCCCAGCCCGCTGCTCCTCGGCACCCCTCCCCCCACCCACGTGCCTCTGGCTCCTTACCCACCGAGGCCTCTGGGGACGTGCCCAGGGCTGTTGAGTCACCTGCAATTTATAGCTGTCAACCCTGCTCTATCCTGAGACAGTCTCACTGACTCGACACACTTCTACACATTACCCCAGTGACTGTGTCAGTCCATCTCCTCCAGGGTCTTCCTCCCTCCACCCGTTCCAAGCATGAGGCCCTTCTCCAAGAACACATGCCCAAAGTATGTGAGATGGAGCTTCAAAAATAAAAATTTTATTACAATAAAAAAAAGAAGAAAAAAAAATCTTTGCCTCCAAGGAGCAACTTGTTTCACCCTCTCCAGGGCAAAACATGAGGGTACATGGTTCAAATCCACCAGGTGCTTTGAGGGAAAGAAAGATGGCAACCCTCCCGCTTCTGAAAACCCCACTGGAAGGTCAGCTATGTGTTGGTTCCAACTCGAGAGTACAGGACAGCTTAACAAGAGCAGATCTGCCTGATCTTTCTTCCTGAGAAAGAGTGGCTAGTAGCTGCAAACTGCCAACCCACCTACAGCAGCAGCTCAACGCTTATCTGCTCCCCGACCAGAACTCCTTCAGCCAAAGGACAGGAGGGCTGGAGAGCCACCAGGAAACCCAGGAAGGAGATTATGGCTACTCCTTCCTTAGAACAGTCGTACAAGGTCAAGGGGCAGCATTTCTAACAGTCATACAAGAGCAAAGGGCAGCGTTTATCCAGAGATAAAGTTCAGAAGGCAGGGAGAGAGAGGAAAAGAGGAAGAGTGAAAGCAGGAAACACAAGAAAGAGTGGGAAGAGTGCTGTTCCATTGTCGAGATTGCAATTGGCATCATGAAACAAAGTGCACATGAATTGCTGACTGGATGACCAACTCACACTGGACATGTTTACCCAGATCAAAACAAGCAGAGATGCTTGGAGAGGCAGCAATGGATTCTGAGAGGCACTAACAGATTTGCCACCAAGGAGTGGGTGTGTGGGACAGTGACCCTCACCCTGAAGGACTTGGAGGAGGAGGGAGGGGGAACTCAGGCCCAGCCCCAGGGCTGGAGGGGCCACGGCCAGCAAGTCAGCAGGAGGAACAGAGAGAGGAGACCATGTGGCCAGAACAGAGGACGAGGGGCGCAGGCTGTAGAGCTCCCTGCACCCCACATGTGTTCTTGGAGTAGACCCTCTCCCACCCTGGCATGCCTGCCCTCTTCCCTGCTCCCTCCCTTGGGGCACCATCTTTATCTTCCTCATCCAAGTCTGCAGCCCCCAGCTAGCAGTGCAGTGTCCAGGGCCCCCAGCCACCTCCCCAGAAAGAGTTCTGGACACAGGGTGAAGGCTGGCACTGGCTTTATTTTAGACCTGATTCTGGGAGGTGCCCACGTGGCACCCTCCTGGCCAGATGCTGACCCCTGAACCCCGTTTCCGGGGCTGCCTCTCCCCGTATGGAGAGTGTGAACCTTTGTGAGGTGCATGGTCACTGCTGGCCCCATGACTTCCCTGTGAGTCTGGGGCAGCTGGGCCCCACTCTGCTTCCCCGGAGGCCACTGGTGTGGGCTCACCAGTCCTGCCGTCTCCTCCTGGAGGCTCCCTCGCTGGGGGTCTGCGCAGGGCTGTGGGGTCTGCTCTCTCCCTCAGGGCCTGAGGACGCACGCCCAGCACTAGGGCGGCCTCCTGGCCTCTTTCCTCTGTAGGGAGCTGGCCACAGCCAGAGCACCGCCCTGCACAAACCGCACGAAGTTGTCCCCAGCCAGAGGTCCCATGGCATACAGGCCCTGCTGCCGAGTGCTCTGGTAGGTGAACGGGTCCACGTCAATGGGGTTCCTCTTGGAGCTCAGGGGCTGACCAGGGTCCACAGCAAGCTGGGTGCCTCCCCCAGGGAGGAAGGAGAGGTCGGGATGGGAACCAATGAGGACCAGCACCAGGGACACGCCAAAGACCTTCTGGCCTCCCCCAGGGTCCCGGAACACGACCTGGTGGTCCTCCTTGAAGAGCAGCAGCTGGTGCTGGGGGAGGCTGAGGTAGCCCCCGTAGGGGCTGGGGGACAGGATGGACTGCTCACGCATCATCTGGTGCACCTTGTGGTACTCAGGGTACAGCATCTTGGGTAGCTGGTTGAACACCAGGCCCGGGTCGTCCACGGCCCTCCGGAAGGCATGGATGACAGGCAGGTTGTAGTGACGGGCAAACAGCACAGCATCAGCCGCCGACAGCCCTGCGCCCACGATCAGGATGGGATCCGAGGCTGGAGTCACTGTGCCTGCCCTCGTGGCCACCTCCAGGGCTGACAGCTTGTGGTGGACGAAGGGCAGGCCCTCTCCGGGGATGTCCAGCCGGGCACGGCTGTCCGATGTGCCCGTGGCCAGGACCACATTGCGGGCACACAGGGAGAAGGACTGTGGGCTCTGGTCCTTGCTAGTCAGGAAGCCGCTCACTTGGAAGAGGGGTTGGGGGTCCAGCACACTGGGGTCGGTGGGCTCTGGCTCCCCCCACTTCACAGCCGTGACCACGGCACCGGACACGAAGTTGGGGCTCAGGCCCTTGTTGATCACATAGTCCCGGTAGTAGTGGGCGATGTCCCCGGCTGTGGCCCGGCTGTTACGGAGACCCCTAGGGGTGGAATGCAGGGGCAGGGAGTCAGAGCACGGTGTGGGGTGACAGGCCAGAGGGGATGAGCTGCTGATGTTGGCCCTGTGGTGGTGGGGGAGGGGGGTGAGGTGCTCTTGTGTCGAGAATGCTGCACAGCAACCCTACGGAGCACAGCTCTGAGCCCCGGCCTGTCCTTCACCGGCCTCAGCATCAGCCCATCTGACTGCAGCGGTCACTGTGCCAGTCCAGCTCACTGAGCGTCTTCCTTTTGCTGACCTTCCACCCTCCCAAGCATGATGTCCTTTTTGAAAGAACAGCCTCTCCTAACAACATGCCCAAAGTCTGTGAGAGGAGGCTTCGCTGTCTTCGCCTCCACGAGCACTCTGCTTACACACTCACCCGGATGGACGTCTGTGCTCTTCTGGGAGCCCGGCAGTTAAGCCTCAGTCTCCTCCTCTGTAAGACGGCACTAACAAGGCCCCGACCTCAGGAGGGTGAGCACGAGGTGGGTTCAGAGTGCACACCACAGACTCTGTACCAACGTACCCCACAAACCACAATCTGAACCCCAAGCCTGTGCTGTTGAGTGGACTGTGCTGCCCCGGGAGCCGGCAGCACACAGCGGAAATGCCCCAGGGTTTGCACGGCTGGGGGGGTTGGTTAGCAGCTGCATTCTTTAAGCACGGTGCCACCAAAGCTCCACACAGACTGGAAGGCCAAGCTCTGCAGCAGGTGAGCCCTGTGCCTGAGACGCTGCGCCCCTTGTCAGATAATGATGGTGGTGGTGGTGATGGAACCAATACGCAAGCCTGTTAAGAACTTGAGGGCTTTGGATACTCACAGATGGGTTTAGATCAGACCATGGCAGGTACTTAGGACTCTGGTGGTCTAGTGGGAAAGAGCTGCACTGCCAGCCCAAAGGCATGCAGTTCAAACCCACCAGCTCCTCTGTAGGAAGAAGATGAGTCATCTCCCGTACAATTTACTGCCTCTGAAAACCCACTGAAGGGTCAGCTGTGACTCGAAGGCATGTAACAACATGACTTATTATTCTTAATAGTATTAATATTGTATTATTAATATTGTCATATTTCATAATTTTCCAGGAGCACATGGTATGATTCCATTTGCCCATTCAGAAACTGGCAAAAGCAATCTATGAGGCCAGAGGGCAAGAGAGTGGCTGTCTCTGTGGAGGAGGCTGGGCCTGGTGACTGGGCAGCGGGGAGGGCTGGCCATCTATTCCTTTATTCTGGACAGCCCTCATACAGGAGTCCCTTGGAGAAAACCCACCCACCTGTACACACCGGAGGGATGTACTTTTCTCCACACGGGCTGTTTCAAGAAAATGCTTGCTGCAAAGTTGGAAAGTGCTTAGCACAGTGCCCAGCCCACACAATAACTACAGTTTTAATTAAGTGTTGGGTTGCTAACCAGAAGGTTGATGGTTCGAATCCACCAGCTGCTTTGTGGGAGAAAGAGGAGGCAATCTCCTTCCCTAAAGAAGTACAGCCTCTGAAACGCTGAGGCAGCTCTGCTCCGTCCAGCTGAGTGACGGTGAGTGGGAACTGGCCCCGTGGCTGGGTCCCCAAGCTCCCTTCCTGGGGTGAAGGGGGCAGGGACAGCCTTGCTCATAGCTGAGTTGCTGACTTTGATGTAATCTTGGCCCCTCCCACTGCCTTGCTGGGAGACCCTGGGCTCATTACTGTACCAGCTCAGAGAGGCTGGTAGGGAAGAAACTGCTGAATCATGTCGGACTTGCCTACACACACACACAGCAGCATGAACTCTGTCCAGTCCCCTGAGGCCACTCCGACCCCCTCCTTCAGCCTACCCACAACTATCACCTCAAGTCATTTCACTGGGTTTGTCATTTGCCCCACTTTTGTCTTTGTAAGATTATGTTTTTAAAAATCCTCCCAGGATGTCACATATGGGGATACTTAAAATTGTGGGGAAAATTGGGCAAGAACCTACAAACTGGGTGATGGCCAAAGTGGCATTAGGGCGAGGAGCTCATCTGTCATGTCTTTTTGCTCCTACATCTCAATATAAAGTCCAGATCATCATCAGAATTCGGGAGAGATTTGCTGGAGATGGTTGCTCGACTGCCCTGAGGAATACTATACAACCATGTAAAAAGATCGGTACCAGCGCTGTGCCACCACCATGAAACATGCTTCGGACAGCAGAGGAAACTTTGAAAGTCGGTGTCAAGAACTGAACTGTGTAACCCCTAAGTACATGTCTATAATGTGGTAGCTATGTGATGATCCCAGATGAGCTAGTCAACCAAATAGAGCATTAAGGACATCATGCTTGGAAGGGCAGAGAGGCAGTGTAGGAGAGGAAGACCCCGGAGGAGACGGACTGACACAGTAACTGGAACGATGGAGACAGGTGTGTCACAGTGAGATGGCACAGGACAGAGCAGAGTTTAGAGCTATTGTACACGGGGTCGCGATGAGTCAAGTCGATGGCACATAACAACAGCAACAACACCAAGGAAGACATAGAATACTCTCTAATCTCACTAATCCCAGCACAGCCTTAGTTCCCCTGGAAGATGGTCAGTGAGGCATGACCACAGAGATGACGGACATTGCCATTATCTCCTTTCACCTGGATTTGCAACCAGCAGTATTCTGAGAAATCAGAAGACGTTTTGCTTTGGGAAAATCTACTGTCCAGGACATTTCCAGGGAGCTAAAGAGTTAAAAAGTCACCTTTTTTGAACATTGTCATTATCTCCTTTCACTTGGATCTGCAACCAGCAGTATTCTAAGAAATCAGAAGACGTTTTGCTTTGGGAAAATCTACTGTCCAGGACATTTCCAGGGAGCTAAAGAGTTAAAAAGTCACCTTTTTTGGTGATTAAGTGTGCCTGCTCCAAGCCCATAGTGAGGGAAAGTTGAACAATGAATAAAGAGGAAAGTAGGCTCTGTGCCTTTGGATTGTGGAGTTGGCATCAGAGAAGACTCAATGGACATTGGAAGAGGCCTGCCACAAGGACAAGCAAGGCTGTCACGGAGGGAAGTGCTCCTCAGAGGTGAGGACGGACAGCCTTCATCTCATACCTGGGGCGTGCTGTCAGCAGGGCCAGACATCATGCTGGGAAGAGTGGTGGGTCAGAGACAGAGGGGAAGCCCTCAGGGAAATGGACTCATACAGTGATTGTGGCAATGGCCGAGGATTGTAGAGATGGTTTAGGGGTTCAGGATGGGCAAAGTTCAGATCTGTTGTCCAGAGGGTAGCTGTGAGTCGTGGTCATCAGGAGTGGAATGTGTCTCTTTGGACCTGGGTCCCTACACCGTGATAACCTTTGAGGTCTCCAGGAGACTCCAGGCCCACAGATGCCGAAGGAAATAAGACCTTCCCCCAGACCCAACACAGAGAGGCCTTCCCCCAGGCGGGCACCCTGAATTTACACTGTGGCTTTCTAAACTGTGACACGAGTTTCTGTCTGCAAATGAAATCCACTTGTGGTAGGTCTTTATAGCAGCGAGCAGGTTATAAAAGGGTATGCTTACAATGGAAGGAGCTCTGCCTGCTTGGTACAGACCTTCCAAACCAGTTCTTTCTGGTTTAATCGTGGCTGATAGGCAAAGCTGGAACAGGCCCAAATTGATAGAATGTGGGTATATCAGACTGATAAGCAGAAAATTACAGGCTAGTGCCCTGCTAGAGGACTGCGGGCGGGCAGCCTGATGGAAGGGCCTGCGGGTCAGGCAGCCGTGGGCGGGTGCATGGGTAGTTATGTTTTAATGCAGGAGCGTGGCTTTTAAGAAGCACACTCTCTCAGCTGACTTGGAGGAAACGGGACATATCTGGGCCAGGCGCAGAATAGCGAGGGGCAGCAGGGGCAAGAGGAGGCCCCGGAACCTGGGTCAGGATGTGGGGGCAGGAGGCCAGCTATCTGCTTCTCCTGGGCCTCGCCCCGGAACCTGGGTCAGGATGTGGGGGCAGGAGGCCAGCTATCTGCTTCTCCTGGGCCTCCGTAGGGGCTGGAATGCTATGGGGATAACAGGTTGGGGAGCACTGTAGCTGGATGGGGGAGCACTGGACCAGTTCTAGGGTGAGCCCAGGATGCTGCTCGCAAACCCTGGGGCCCTGCCCTGCCTCAGTTTTCCTTCTGGAGGACAGGGAAGGCAGACCAGGTAACCATGGCCACCTGAGCTCCAGCCACGGGCTCAGGTGAGAGGACTCCTGCCTGACCTTACCTCCGCTTCCGGCGCATCCAGTCCTTGACCTGCAGGTCGGGGAGCCCCATCCACTGGCCGTGGCTCAGGGTCACCATGGAGCCTTCAATAGACTGTGTGAGAGAGAGGACTTCACTACAGACCTCAGGCACCCTGATCCCACTGCACCCCTTCACATGCTACGTGCCAAGCACCCCAACATCACTGTACCCTGACTTACATGCCAGGCACTCAAACCCGCTGCTCCCCTAGCATATGCTAAGCACCCTGACTTTATCACACCCCTACACGCCCCTACTCACGTGCCAGACACCCCCCAATCCCATTGAACCCCTAGCACATGCTAATCACCCTGACTTCATCGCACCCACATTCACATGCTAAACACCCTCATTTACGTGTCAGGCACACTGACCTCCCCCCTCATGTGCCAAGTCACCAGAATGACTGCATTCCAATCATGTGCCAGGTGTCCTGAGTCCACTGCAGCCCCACTCACACGCAAGGTAGCCCAACATTACAGCACCCTGCACTCACGTGCCAGGCGCCCCCTGGCAGGTTCCGGCCCAGGACCAGGTGGGGAACGGCTCGCTCTTTTTGGCACTTCCAGGTCAGTACAGACTCCACGTCACCCCCAAAGTCCGTGTCTGGTCGCTGGAGGGCGTCGAAGAGCAAGGCCACAGGGCTTTGGCAGCGGCCTTCAAGGCCCTCAGAGAGATAGTTCAGGTCCTGGGGGACAGGGGTCAGAGGGGTAGTCAGTTTCCTGGAATGAAATTTGGGCAGGGCCAAGGGCTGGGGCCTAAGCTGGTCCCCTGAGGCTAGCCTCACCAGAGCCATCCAGGACGCTGTGTTGAGTTCACCTTGGGGTCTCTCCAGGAGTCTAGGGACCCCAGGCCCCCTCCAGTCACCATTTGGCCCTGCATTCCCACTCTGACAGTGGGGTTGGGGAGACCCGGTCAGTGCTGCCTTGTAGAGGTCCAGAATCCCCATCTGCACATTCAAGGCTCTAAAAAGTCCTACAATGGTCACTGGGCCCTGTTAACTCTTAAACCACTGGGTCAGGGACATTTTCTGTGCTTTATACGGAGCGGCCAGCATGCTGTGAGGACGACTGTGCCAGATATCCATCCCCTTCTCTTCTCCACCATAAATGGACAGGAGGGGGCGAGGCCCGGACGCTGCCTCAGGGGGTAACCGACTAGGAAGGGAGGAAGTGTGGAGGGCAGGCCCTTCCTGGAAGGGGGAGCCACAGGAGGGCATCGAGGTGGTGGCCCGGTGGGTTATTAGTAGGTCAAGCTTCCAGCCACTTCTGGGGAACAGGATAAAGCATCCCCATTCTGAAGACAGCGGTTTGGGGAGCTCAAGGACCGATTCTGCTCTGTCCTAGGTCGCTGTGAACTGAATCAGTGGCGGTGAAGTTTGTCTCTGGGTTTTTACCAATGTAAGGGGGAGTGGGGCTGAGATTTCTGGGTTCACTTTCTCAACGTGGCTCTCCTGCCAGCCTTCGTGCTGGGGGCCTGTGGTAGCACCCTGGACCTCTACCCAGTAATTGCCCCTGGCACCCCTCCATGCAGCTGTGACAACTCAGAGTCCCAGACACTGCTGAACATCCCTGGACACGAACACGTATCTCCCGATTCCGTTAGTGAGGAAAATGTTCTTGATGAACCAGGGCACAGAGAGGTTTGGTAACCGTGCCCAGGGTCACACAGCCAGCAAGCAGCAGAGCAGGGATTCAAGCCTGGACAGAGGGGAACGGGACCACACGGGCACGGACAGGATGCTGGCATGGGAGTGCAAGGTGTCTAAAGCGGCCTCCTTTCCCTGACACAAGGCCTGGGGCTGACTTCGTGGCCTCTGTTGCTGTTTGCCCTCTTTTCTGGTGGACGCACATTCGCCTTTGCCCCAGGAGCTGGGACATCCTCCCGCGGGGATGACCCACCTGGTCCAGGATGGAGACCCCTGTAGCCTCAGAGAGCTTCCGCTGCAGCAGGGGGTATGGGTGGACAGCATCCTGCCTCACGTATGGGGTGTAGCCGGAGAGCAGGTACGACAAGCAGATGCCCGAGGGGCCGTTGCCTGGGGGGAAAGGGTAGGAGTCAGGGTGGGTGCAGGGACAGATGGCACAGAGACCACCACCCACCGGATGCTTTGGCAATGATCGGACTCACTCGTTCATTTATACTTCATCCATTAAAATAAAAAGAAAAGCATTTATTAAGCCTTTTGTGTATGGCAGGTACCGTGCATGGTAATAGACCCTGGTGGCATAGTAGGTTACGTGTTGGGCTGCTATCTCAAAGGACAGTGGTTCAAATCCAGCAGCTACTCTCCCAAGAAAGATGGGCAGTGTCTCCTGTAGAGATTTAGAGCCTTGGAAACTTGTGGAAGGTCCCGATGTGTCAGAACCGGCCGGACAGCAGAGTCCGAGCACGGTGCTTCTCTGTTCATCTTTTTGTCCCTTCTTGTCCTGTGCTGCTCAGAGGACTGCCCGTAGGCAGAGTGGATGCTGCCAATGGTCAGTGAATCCCGACTGACCACAGTGGCCATTCTGTGCTGTGACACTGAGAGGATTGCCACCAATGTCACAAAACAAAATGTGTATGAGTTATTGAATGGAAAATGAATTTGCTCTGCAAACTTTCACCAAAACTACAGTAAGAGAATAAAAAAAAAAAAAGAAGCAGTGGGATTTCTGAGGCTCACACTAGGCCTTCCCAGGAGGAGCAAAAACCTACAGCTTCACCCGCATCCTAATGCATACGAATCAAACTTTTGGAGATACTGATAGAAAAATCGGCTGTTTTGGGCAGGCCTGTCTCCTGCTGCCTGCATAGAGGAGTCTTCAATCCCTGTGTCAGCAAACACTGAGGGCAGGAGCACGTGCTATGCAGGAGGGACCCTCAGTGGGAACCTATGTGTTGCTGGGAACAGGTGAGCACTGGACAGACATCTGGGACCTGATGCATTCTGGGAGCACGTCAGGAGGAGAGAGACCCAGGAGCCAAGGCCCATGGCCAGACCCTGGCTCCTTCCTAGCTGGATTTTCTTAGGCAAGAACCTCTCCTGGCTTATGCTCAGTCTCCCCATCTGTACAATGGGGACAGCAGTGACGGCTGCAGCCTGCCTCTGCAGGGAGGGCCTGTCAGGGTGGCAGGAGCCAGGGTGGCTTTGTGGTGTGTAAGATGAGCTGCATCCATGACGTCACATTTTCTAGTGTCTGCACCGGAAAAAGTAAAAGGAACTGTCCAGGGGAGTTTTAATCATGGAGTTTTACTCTTGATAGATGCCGATACTGTGTCGTCATGCAATTAACAAGATGCGTTAACTCTCACTTTCCTCTAAAGCTTTTTCACCCCAGTGTATATTTTTTTTTGCTTTTTTTTTTCTTTATTATTATTTTGTGTGTGTGTACCGTCAAATCAGATCTGACTGGTACAGGAGGATATTGCACCTCCTTCTCCGGCAGAGCATCTGGTGGATTCGAACCGTGTTCCTCTGAGATTGCAGTGCAGCTTCTTGCCACTAGGCCACCAGAGCTCCCCCCCAGTGTATATTTTAAAAGTCATAAACCCCTGAGTGGCACAAGTGGTGCTCAACTACAGGCCACAAAGTTGGCACTTTGAACCCATCTAGCAGCACCTGGGCAGCCTGGCCTGGTGATCTGCTTCCAGTCAAAGCCTTGAAACCTGGTGAAGCAGTCCTGCTCTGCACAAATGGGCCCCCCAGGACTGTAACTTACTACCAATTTATAAAAATCGCCAATCCAGTCCCACTGGCATTGCCTCCAAAGGACAGAACACAACAGCCCTCGGGGTCTGCAAGCTGGACTCTGCGTGCAAGCAGATTGCCACATACTTCTCCCGTGCTGGCTCCAAACCAATGGCCTCTGAGTTAGTGGCTTTAGCCACTGTGCCACTAGGGCTCCTTCTGTCATTTCCAGCACATCTCCGACCAGACCAAGCACCCTTTACATGGGTGGCTGCCACCCTCGGTCACCAGCCTGGGCAGTGCAGACCCAGAGTTTAGGGACCAGCAGTCCTCAGCCCGTGGCTGACCCTCCTTCTGCTGCAGCATTTGAGAGGATTAAACGAGATGATATTCCATAAATCGCTAAGGCAGTCACAAGGCACAGAGCAAACACTCCGTGGCTGGATGAGACCCCCGTGGGAGGAGGCCAGCCTGGCCTTGCCCAGCTCCTGACAGCCGACCGCTGTGAGTACTGGCCCCACGCGCCCAGACACCCCACTCACCGATGATGACGACTGGGAGGGGCTCTGATCTGCTGGCACTGAGGTGGTCTCTCCTTGAGTTCATGGCTGCGGCTGGCAGGTGGCTTGATGTTGGCAGCTCACCTGGGGAAAGAGGGCAGGCTGCTGTCACTTTCCAGCGACAGGGCGGTCTCTGTGGCTTCACAGGGGAGTCCAAGTCCCCCTTCCCCTGGGGAATAGCAACTCCTTTTGTTCAAACAGTTTGGTCTCTTGGGACCATGAGTTGGGGAGTGATCCTGCCCAAGATGCACACCTTCACCCTGGAACCCCACCATTTTCCTGCCTCCAGCCCTCGGACCCCCACTGCCCGCTGGGCCTGGTGGTGGCCATCTCTGCACCCAGTTATCTATCTTCCACTTACGAGCCCTGCCCAGCCCTCACCATGGTCCACTGTACCACCTATAAACTTTGGAACCATAACCTAGGCCTGGCCAGCTGCTCCCTAACAGGCTGACCCAGACTGCTTGGGACTTGTAAGGCTATTTCTCCGTCTGCACTTTGAGACTAAGGGTAGTCTCCCAGAAACCCTGGGGGACAGGACAACAGAATCACTGGGTTTATGGAAAACAGCCAAGGCAGCTGTTCTCTGGAGCACTGGTGTCCCCTGCTGGCCACTCGTCCAAATTACTCAGAGGACTCTGCTCAAGATGCAGCGGCTGGAGGACAGTGGGTACCTGCTACCTACCAACCTGCCATCTGAGGCCCACAGGAAATTCTGTGCACACGTGTGGGAGAGCAGGTGGTTAGCATTTCACCTACATCCTCCCACTGACCCTATAGGGTATTAGCCCATTTTACAGATGCATACACTGGGGCTCAGTGAGGTCATAGGAGTGACTTGGTGTCACATGGCTTTGCTTGTAACCTCTGCATCATCACTTGTGTGTGGAGGGAGATCTGGGTATCTCACAGGGTCATGGGCTGAAGTGGTGAATGCAAGGTCTAGTTGGGGTCACGGGTGTCCCCCCAGAGCATGCCCAGGGCCAGATCTCTGGAATCCTCCAGAGCACAGGAGATCGGCATTTCTACCTGTGTCCTCTGGTGAGGAAGAGTAGGGGCCTGATTGGCATTTTTGCTTAATCTCAGACAGTTAGAGGCTGAGGCTACCGGGCAACCTCTGATGTGGGCACAGCGGGACAGGGACCCTGGATTGTTGCTGGGCAGGTTCCTACCAATGCTGGGGACAAGGCATTGGACAAGGCTTGTGATAGCTGACACCTGCCTCACACAGATCTTACAGTCTGCAAGGTGCTTGGTTCTGAAGTCCATGTAACCCTCACCTTACTGGAGAAGAGAGGGGGCTGGGCTGGGGTGAAGGCTGTGCCACCCCCTCCCTTCTCACATGCCAACCCAGGTCCCCAGTGCCTGTCTTCAGGGCCCAGAAGGCAGCCTTGCTTAGTTCTTCAGTCTCCCTGTGGATGGAGCACCTCCTCTCCCTTACAGATGGACAAACTGAGGCTCAGAGAGGGTTGCAGAACCAAGATGAGAAACTGTGGGCTGAGCCCATAAGGAGCTCTCATTGGGCTACTAACTAAAAGACTGGCAGTTCAAATCCACCAACTTCTCCAAGGAAGAACCTGGAACCATTTCCTTCCTTAGAGATTTATAGCCTCAGACGCCTGGTGGAAGGTCACCATGACCCACAGGCACAGTCAGAACGTGGACACTGCCCAGACTTCCTCCTCAAAACTCCCTGCCCAGGACACATCCCAGCTGGCCTTAGTGTTGAGGGGACATTTGTAGACGCCCTCCTCTTGATGGAGGTGGAGTCTAGACTGCTTGGCCTTTTAACTCGTGGGAGGGGCGGAAGCCTGACCTAGAGCTGGACTCCTGGACTCCAGGTCCAGTGCTCCTTTCCGGCACCACTAGATGCCACAGTCATGAGGTCACCATTCAGGGCTGATTTAGTGGTCATTTCCGGTGCAGGAAAGCTGCCTGGAAGCCCTGGTCCTGCCTGGGTCCCCCCACCTGCACTAGACTTGCAGCAAACACATGGAAAATGGGGGTAAACTTCCTGATTTTCCATTTTGTCCTCACTTTTGCCATTTGTGAGGCTGAAATAGCATATATTTTAATTTTTTCAAGTTTCTCTCTAAATGAAGACAGTATATGTTAGTAGGGAAAAAAGTTAAAATGAGAACTCAAGGTTCAAAACTCGCTGAACCCAGTCAGCACAGAAGAAATGGAAATAAGAATCTTCACACTTTTACCCGCAGCACCTATGCTCCCGAGGCCTCAGGGTTTACAGGGCAGCTGCATTGACCACACCTGAGCATATCTCTGGCCCTTGGCTCATCTGACTGCGAGGAGGTGGCTTTCTTGCACCCATTGCAGAGGTGGGAAACCCAAGGTTGGGTGGGGGCTGTCTTTCCCAAGAAGGTCTGAACCCAAGCAATAGCACACATCCTAGTTCTGTTCTGATACTCAAGTGACCCCAGCCGAATTCCTGGAACAGAGTAAAAAGCAGGACCCCATAGGCACGATGCAAGGAGAAGGGACTGTGAACCTGAGGCTGCAGGGTCTCCTCTCTCCCAGATGACTCCACGGGAGGTCTCCATAAACCCTAAGTCTCCTTGGGTCCCATGCCCCCATGCCAGCACCCCAGATCCTCCTGGGAGAAGCCATGGGATCCCTTGTGGGGGGGGTGTCACAAGACGTAGGACTCAGTAGGCCCCCTCTGGCCTGGAGCGCATTCATGTGAATTCGGTCACGCGTGCCTGAGGGCAGAAGGGTCCAGCAGGTTCCAAGGAGCACCAGCAGCCACACCCCCTCTGGCCAGGGGCCATTCATGTGAACAGTTGGTCACGCATACCGGTGGGCGGAAGGACCCCGCGGACTCCAGGAAATGCCGGAAGCCACGCCCCCTCTGGGCCTGAATACATTCAGGCGAACAGGCAGTCACGCGAGCCAGAGGGCACAAGGGCCCAGCGGGCTCCCGAACAGCCGGCAACCACGCCCCCTCTGGCCCGGGGAGCGCATTCACGTGAATAGTCGGTCCCCTGTGACGGAGGGTGGTAGGACCCAGCGGGCTCCACACTGCCGGCAGCCATGCCCCCCTGGCCCCCGGGAGCGCATTCACGTGAATGGACAGACATGCGAGCCGGCGGGTGCAGGGGTCTCACCGGGCCAGGTGGGGTGGGTGGGGCAGATGGGGACCCTGTGACCCCTGTCCTCCTGGGGGCCCATCCAGCTCCAGGACCCGCGGCCAGCTGGTCCCTGGTGGGACACGCCCCATCTGAACCCAGCCTGGCCACTTACCTGGTGGGCAGGTGCAGCTGCGGGGCGAAGGTCACGGCGCGCCTGGGGACAGGACACCCGTCGCCCGTGGGGACCCGAGAGGCAGTGAGGATCGCGGGGGAAGCGAGGGTATTTCACGGGGCGAAGCGGCGGGCGGGGCCGGACACTCACTTTCATAAGCGTGACTCAGCAGACCTCGGTGAATGAACCCGCGAGGGCGGAGACGAGCGGCCCGTGGCCTCCCGGGACCGGGACACCTGCCCGGCCGCAGCCAGGCCCCACACCCCACCTGGACCCACTCCAGCCCCCTCTGCTCCACCCTGCGAGCCCAGCTCTGCAGCCGCCAGCCGGGAGACTCTGGACAGGCTGCTGGAGCCCAGCCTCAGTTTCTGCATCTGGAAAATGTGAGCAGAATAAAAACCCAGAGTTTCTGTAAACTTTCGTCAAAAACCACAATTTAAAAAAATGGTAAGAAGTTGTAAAAGCCTCCCATCACACGAAGGCCCTCCCAGTTTTGTATCCCTTTTATTTTTTTAACTTAAATTTCATTACTCCCCACCCTCAGCACAGTACACTCGCCACCCTCTTAGCCAGGCAGCGGGCGGGTCGGGACCCTGTGGGTCCCCAGTGCTGGGACTACAGTGTTCACAAGCATTTAGGAGTGTCAGAAAAAATAAGCCCAAACCACCTCCTACTAACCAAGAAAATAACACTTCATTGCCGTTTGTTGGAAAAGTGAAATGTAAAAATAGAGCTCACAGCAACACAGTGAATGACATAGGATCAAAGACATTTTAAAGCTAGGATCTAGGACAGTCTTGAGATAACTGTATTGAATCCTGAAGCAAAAGGCAAATCAGAAATCGTGACACAGTCATCACTTAAAAAATTGTGATGTTGTGTTCATAGTAGATGTTTTGCAGCCGTTAAGATTATTTTTCAAAGACAATGTGTTAAAGTTTGCATTAACACATCTGTGTCCTGACTGGAGACTGTCTTTGTCTCTCAGTTGGGCCTGTACCCAGTATTCCCTCTCCACCGCTTCCTCACCTCTGTCCACAGGAAACCTGGCTCTGCCCTAGAGGAACATGGGGTCTGAAGTTTCCTTCCTGCAATCAGAAGGACTGGCCCCTGTGGGTGAACCCTGGGGAGACATGCCCTATGGAGCCTCAGTTATACCTGTGTGAAATGGGCAGGCGCAGTCACTCCAGGGTGGAGGGCAGCAGTGACCAGTGGGCGTCTCTTGACAACAACACTCTGCTCCTAGATCAGTACACATGTACTGTGTGACCTCAGGGGTTAACCTCCAGGCCTCTCTTCTACTCTAGCTGTGGCCTGGTTCCCATTGCTTCCTGACGCCCTGGAAGCCCCATAAATGCCCACTCTCCAGCTTTGCCCAGCAGCTGCCTCAACAGTCTCCACTTTCCCGTCCCAGAGCCCTGCACTTACAACCCCCTCATCTTTTCAGATGCATAAACTGAGGCAGAGACAAGCACCCAGGATCAGAGATTGAGGGGCAGCTGGGGTAAGGGGCAGATCCACAGGTGAGAGAGCCAGAAGAGACCCCATTTCCTGGGCTCTGTCTGCCATCTGTCCTTTGTCCTGCTGCCCCAGTCGGCCTTGGCTCACTTTTCTTCATTTTTCAAAGTTGCTGATAACATGTGGACTTTCGTCTTTGCCACCTTATTTACCAACCAGGCAGTTATCAGAATCAGCATTTGTTGTTTCAGGAAAGCTCAACTCGGACAAAGACCAGTAGTGGCAGAGCTTGAAGCTATTTCGGGTTTGATTCCAGACCAGAGCAAGAAA